GTACAGTACCGGGAGCCAGATGCTACATACCGATCAGTTGCAGAGGCATTTAATGGACAACACTCGGGTCCAAGAACCATAGCGCAAGACTTACGAGATACAGTGCCCAACACAATGAAACAATTAGTAAATTCATGTTGATTGAACTATTATATTACGTAAGCCATAACAACCCAATCTAAACCGATTCAACCTAAACCAATCACAAAGAAGATCCGATTTCGACCTAATCCAATCACAAAGATGACCGGGGTTTTCAGAGTCGGTCTGAGGTCAGCGATGGCGGGATTTAGCAGTATCTGTCGGTGAGCGCCGCCTGGGGGGAAATTGAACATTTCGCCCACCATAATCTGGGAATCGTTGAAGCGAAACTTGTGCCGATTTCTTCGTAGCTTTGATAATCTACTAAACTAACGGTGTATAGTTTGAAGAAATAAAGAAAAGTGAAATAAATGGTTAAATTTAAGAGGGTCTATTACACAAAAATAATATTCATATTTTGTTATAATTTTCATTATTATTATAATTTAATTAAGCAACAATCATCGTACATAAACTGTTACACACATTGTTCTAAAGGTCTGTTCAATACCACATTTGGCATTCCAGAAACAAGAGGGGCGGTGACTGAGGGGCTGGGGGGTAGTTGAGGGGGGTCGAGAGGTTTGCCCAGTTCCTCTTCCGTAAAATTCCCATTTCATCTTTCTTTGAAGTTTGTTTATGATTTGACTTGAGAAGCGGCGGTGGCAGAGGTCTCTTAACACTGACACACACCAAAAGTCTCGTACCTCCCGCTAGCAGTAAACATTCTCACATGTCAAAATGAAACAAAATATTTCCGATGTATTTCCTCCAGCAGAATCGTTGTTTACTGTGTCAGTGAAACGAACTTCTCTCGATTAAAAGTCCTTGAGTGCCTCGTCCCGCCACGCTCACACACGAACACTACATAGTTCTACTTTCACTCGTCGTCACTATGGGTGGCTAGTGCCGAGTGTCGTAAAAGATAGTCTCCCTCCTTCCATACCCCTTTCTCATTTATTCCCCCACCTTTCATGCCCCTTTCTCCTTTTCTCCCACCTCTCTATCCACCTCCCTCCTTCTCTTTAATCTGTGCTTTTCTCTTTCTCCTCTCCCCATCCCTTCTTCCAATTTCCATCCCTCCATCTCCTTTCCTACTCTCTCCATCCCCTCCCCCCTCTACTGTCTTCATTCCCCTCCCACCCTCAGTGCCGTGTTTATGGCCGGGGTGCCACAGATAGTCACCATTTCCTCGCCACTACCACGTTATGGTCGTCTGAGAATCGAAAGCACCGCGGAGATCCCCAGTTATCTGCCTGGAGACGCTTGGCTGGGTTTATTCCCCGTAATTCCTGGGATGGTCACGCGAGCCGTCTCACGCCTTGTGGCTTCTCTAGTGAACTTAGTGATTTGTGATGTATTTTTTTGGTTACACATTTGAGAACTTCGCGATTTGTTATGTGTAATTTTTTAAAATAAATTTGAGAATTTCCTGATGTGTACCTTCGCTAGAAAGGGGAACGCTTTTATAATTTACACTGTGTTATTTGGCTGTAAAATCTGGCTTAACGTAGTCTTAATGATGTGTATAATGAAATCTCCAAACTAAGGAGGCCTTGGGTGGCTATAAACCACGCCATCGTACACGCGACCGTAAGTTGTTATTCCTCCGATATTGATACGGTGGTTGTCGTGCCAATGATTTTTTATGTTACTAGGAGACGAATAACTCACAGTAGTTGAGGAACGATTTACTGTAGTGTAGATGATGAAGATCTATGTTTAACATCTTAGAGGAGGAAGTTGGCATCAGTGATGTAATACCAGACCAAGGACGTACATCTGGCACATGTGTTCAATATACCGCCCCCTTTTCCTCCCTCGGTCAGTGAGTGTTATTTAGGACCAAAATTTTCTTCTGGACTCGTGTGCTAAATTTCCTCCCTGACTGGAGACTTACACTACAACACAAAGCCAGAGACTAAAATACATTCAGAATTAAACTACAAACAGAATCGGGAGTGTTTTCACGTCATCAGTTACGGTGGTTAATGGAGGAGCCTTGAAGAGCCCCACCAATACCATACTACCACTCGGTGTCCTAATTAAGGCATCAGTGACATATTAAGTGAGCATCGTAGCGTTACTGGGGAGATTCTGACGACTTGAGGTACAGTGAGCGTAGTGCGATGTGTTGTGAATCAATATGGAAACACTCACTTTGTATACTGTGTGTGTGTGTGTGTGTGTGTGTGTGTGTGTGTGTGTTCTTACCATTATCCCCTCTTCCTTCTTTGAGGTTATAGAATATATCTCTATCATCTTCCTCACCCCCCAAAAAATCAGAACAGATAAGAACAGTTCATAAATATAGAAGATAGACAGAACCCAGAGGGACACCCACACCTGAGAACGTAAATTAACATATCTACAAAAGTACTGTAAATTAACATGTGTGGGAAGGTAAATTATCAACTATTACGACACACGATAAGTCTCTTTACACGTCACTTGGCCGACGGTTCCGTTCAGTACATCAAGTCGAGGACACAGGATGAAGGTCGCCTGATTTCATTTCCTATAATAAGCTAACCAGGTTCCCTATACTGTACCTTCCCTTCAGCATACTTGCAGAAGTCTTAAAGTACTTGTAGTATCCCCACAAACGCTGCGAGTAGGAGGAAGAGGAGAAAAAGAAAAGGGAGGAACTGAGAAGAGAAAGAAGAAACGAGAAGAATGCGTATGATGAGAGAAGAAAAGGAGAAAGAGAAAAGGAGGCGCGCGAGTAGACACAGGGAATACCATTAGTAGAGGCCCTGACATTTGCCACTCACCAGGACTACGGTAACCCACACACACAGCTTCCAGTGGATCAATATCTACCACTTGTACGGTCGAAGCGGGGAGATGAGGGAAGGGGAGTGGGAGATGACGAAAAGGGATGGGAATGGGGAGTGAAATGTGGGGGGTGAGGAGTGGAGGATGAGTGGGTAAAGTTGAAGGGAGATGGAACGTGGGGAAATGAAATAGGAAGGGAGATGGGGAAGGGGAGTGGAGAACGCTGAAGGAAAGAAGGAAGGGTAGGGGAGTGAAAGACGATGAAATGAAGGACGGAAGGAAGGAAGGAAGGAAGGAAGGAAGGAAGGAAGGAAGGGGAGTGAAGGACGATGAAAGGAAGGAAGGAATGAAGGGACCACTCATAAGTTCACCCAACTCTGAAGGTAACTTTTCACACTCGCCTATAGCCTTAACAGCACCTAAAGGAGAGACGAGCTTCCACACTACCTCCATCAGCAGCCAAACTGTCCGCGGGACCCCTCGCCCTAGGGATCACCTGCTGGGGAGGTCAGGTAACACCACGGTGCTTTAAACTAAGTGTTGGGGTGGGGGGCACACTGGGGGGAGGGAGGGGGGGGGTGATCCTCTAAGCCAGCTGCTGTAGGTCCCACAATCCTCGTGTTTATATCAGAAAAGAACGTCACTGGCAGAGGCTGGGGAAACATGTTCGTAATTACACTACTGGGTTGAACGCCAGGCGCTTGTAATTGCTCATGTTAGCTGTTGGTTAATTGCTCATGTTGGCGTTGGCTATTGCTCCTACTGGGGGCTGGTAATTGCTCATGCTGGCACTGTTTTTATATCGCGGGCGTATGAGGAACGGTGGTGGGAGAGTAGCAGTGAGGTAATGAAGGGATGATCGCCTCCCGTACCACGATTCCTTAAGGTTCGTAAACTCAGTTCTCCCCTGACTGGAGATACGAGAACGCCTCCCACTAGCAAATTTTATGCAGAGGAATGATAAATGGTAGTCAAGTGGGCGTCTGAAGTACACTCGGACTACATCGAACTAAATACGTTATCTAAGTATTCTCATTTAAGAGGAAAACAAAAGAGGCTTAAGGTTCTTTGAGACTCATGACCCAGGCTAGGATGGGGCGTTGGGATCTAATACCATCCTCCCTCCTCCCCTCCGCGGCACGTACGGTCATAAGGGGTCACGTATGGCCGTAAGCGCCCACGTACGGGCTCGTGTACGGTAATGACACGGAGGATATCCGGTGGTAGGGGAAGGCGAGACTACCTACCGTGCCAGCCGAAGGTGATGCTGGTCGCTCACACCAACACCACTTGTTCCACCATAGACACACACATAGACGGACATACAGATAGACAAAGAGATAGATATACATACAGAAACAATAATAGAATATAAAAGATTTCCACGTAAGACAATGAGAGCCAGTAATGAGACCATCTCCTGGGTGGTGAGGAAACTTGGTAAGAGTAAATATTTGGTAGCACTCAGAGTCTCTCGCCAAGAAAACTACAAAACAATGGTAATGTTCAGTCAGCCGTAACGTGATTCATCCTACACCAATCTCTTTAATATATTTTAGTTCGTTTACGTTGACACTGGTTAATTTAGCTGTTTGTTTAGATTTTTAAAGGCCTGTCTGTATTGTTAGCTAGCATGTTGAATCCGGGTTGACCAAAATAATACAGCCACTTCGTATAAACTTATGGAACTCCCACTTAGGCAGGATCCATCACCAAGACAGATAACATGATATACTGTTAAGTCACGCATGAACGCCGCCGCCCGGGGTTGTAATAACAGAGCTGCTTATGTTGTCGCGTGTTTGTGTAGCTCTTATGATGTCTTACGTTACCATGGCGGGGACTGTCATCTTATTCCACAACAAGGTAATTAAGCCTGGCACACAAACCAGTCTAGATGAATGTGTACATATGTTGTGAAGAGGACTATGGAGTAGGATGATTTCATAACTTTATATCACAAGTACAGCGTATATAATAGACTGTACTTAATAATTTGGTTATAGCGCCACCTTTATAACACGAGGGACTTAGTGTACATGTTATTTATACCTGTACCTATATTTATAGGCCTGATAGCTTATTAAACCTCCCGGGTCTAGATCACCTATCATTATCAACAGTGTTTGGGCTCCACCTACCTGTCGGTGAGGCCCCCTGGCAGGATGTGAGCGATGACGTAGCCCAGCGTCCTTTGGCCTGATATGTAGAGTCCCAAGCCCTCGTCAGCGTCCTCCTTCACCAGCCGCACCAGCCTGAAGCTCTTGTTGGTTAGTGGCGGCTGTGGTAGTGAGGCGGGTGTGGGCGTCGGTCGGGGTAAACTGGGCGCCCGTCGTCGGTACCCAGTCTCGCTGTACACGGAGTCGGTGTCGCAGTCTTCAGTCACGACGGAGTCCCGCCACCGCCACGACTCTGCACGATCCAAAGAGGCGGACCGGGAGTACCGACGTCTGGTCTCTAACACGTTGTCTATGACTCTGTCATCTCGTGCCAGCCGATCAAACCGTTCTAACCGATTCAGTCTGTCCAACCGGTCCAGACGGTCTAGGTCGAGGGAGGCGCGTTTCGGGTAAGCGTCCTCAGGGTAGATGACTTCGTATAGGGTGTCGACAGAACTGGAGGAGGCCGGGTAGCTCATGCGGGTGTGGAGGCGAGGTTGGGACCGCGGGCGCCACTTGACTGGTGGCAGCGATCCCTCCTGTGGCTGCAGGTGGTCACTGCAGCGGTGGCAGTGGTGACAACATTCACCCTTCCTCGCCCGAAGTTTCTCCTCATCCGTCAGCAGAGGTAGACTCCCGACACCCTTTACAGAGCCGCCTAATTTACTCTCTGTGGTCTGTTTGAGAGGTTTGCTCTTCCTGGAGACGTGGTCACCGCAGCCCTCACTAGCCTCTCGCTGGATGTAAACGGTGGAGCTGCGGGCGTCTTCCCCCGCCGTCCCCTGCACGCGCACAGTCACTACAAAATCCCCATCACCGAAGCCAGTGGGCGCGGGGATGGGCGAGACGACGTCCCTAGCTGAAGACTTGGTGTCTCCTGCTTCCCCCCTGCTGACCCTAGCACTCCCCCCTTCCTCACCCCTCACTGTATCTTCCCCATCCTCTTCCTCCTCTTCACGAACCCATTTATTATCTGACGAGTCTGAGCAAGACGACTTTGTGTCGGAATTTTCCGAAAACGAAGACTTAGAGTCGGATGTCTCCGAGTAAGAGGTTCTCACGTCAGAGATGCTGCCGCAATGGCTGCCAGTCCCGCGCCCGCTGTCACCACACTCATCCCTGGCGGTCGCTTGTTCCTCCGCGACCGAGGTCAGTCTGGATCTAAGGAATGCGTACGGAAATTGACCTTTCTTGGTTGACTTATCACTCTCATTCGTCTTTCCCTCACACTCGCCTTCCCCGAGTTCTTCTCCGCCCTCCGCCGTGCCCTCCACCCGGCTCTCACTCTCTACCTCCACGCTCACGTCACAACTCGGCAGGTGGGACGTGGAAGCACTTCTAAACAACACCGAATGCTTCATGCCCACTGGCTCGTTATCAACGTCTTTGAGTGACTCGTACACATTGTCAGGGTCGTCAGCGAGACCCTTAGCACCGTCAGCACTCGAGTCAGAGGTGTTAGTGACCCTCGCTGCCGGTAGGTCCTCTAAGTCCTTCGCGGAATCCCAACTACGAGAGCGACGGAAAAGGTTACGGATACTCTCGACGCGATCCACCTTGGCCCTGCGTGGTTGACGGGGCGCAGGTTTTGCATCTTTCGTCGCCGCCGCCGGTAGCGTCTCTGCATCTTTGTTGGGTCGCCAGTTCCTCCGGCGGGTGCGGGTGGACCCCAGGGGGAAGTGGATGTGCTCCTTGCTTTCACCTCGCGTCAGCTGCTCCAGCTTCTTGCCCATCTTCTTCCCCCATGTTGAGAACCCTGAAGACCATAAGGGACATTATTAACCACATGGCACAACACTACAAGATTCAGCCACATGAACAAGAGAGAAAAACAAAATAAATAACCGCACAAAACATCTCTCCTGAATACATCTAACTCTCATAACTTCAGATAATACAAACTAATCGTACACACAAACTAAACCATTATACTAATTTAGGTCACGTTGTAAGCACACACACACAGGTTATTGCTTACTCTTCAAACAGGTGCGCCGTCTGGGGCTCCCTCGTAGGTGTTGTAAACCGCTTCACAAGATTAGAGCAATAAAGCCTAACTCCCTGGACAGTGTTATGACGGCCTCGGAGGATCAGAGCTATTTACAAGAGCTTTCAAGACACCAATTTGGCTATCACAACTTGCCTCTCCCGGAGCGTTAAAGATGTAGTGATGTGTTGTAAGCTTATCTGACCCTCCAATCAAGCTGTATGTCTAAGCGGAGGATCAAAATTCGCACCCGGGATCAAGTTCTGGGCTTAAGTCAACTACCACGACGACCTCTTGGTGAAAATTACAAGTAAATACAGTTTACCACAAGAAGAAACTAGCTGGCGGGCGGGCGGACACACACTGTTTGAATACATCTTTACACTACACACAATTTACTATTAAGACAACGACGCTGGCCAACAGTATACAGTAGTATCATTATAGTCAAAATAGAAACCACTTTGGACAAGAGGTTAAACACAGTCCTCAAAAGGTTAACATTGTTTATATCGACACCCACAACACCCAGGTATGACTAAACTATTACCTGGAGGCGATGAGGTAAAGACAACCTTCAATGAATTTCAACCTGGAACGTAAACAATGAATGGAGTTGACCCCAAAACACACCCACTTCCCTCACACCTGGAAACTAAAGACCACACCTGGGGACTAAAGACCACACTTGGGGACTAAAGACCACACCTGGGGACTAAAGACCACAGCTGGGGACTAAAGACCACACCTGGGGACTAAAGATCACACCCGGGGAGACTAAAGACCACACCCGGGGAGTCAAGACCAAACCCGCAGCACACAACACCAGGTCTCACACAACAATCGACTATAATTCACGAAAATGAAACAATAGTTATCACCAGTTACAACGTTATCAAGACACGTCAAACGGGATAAAACATTGGGCTTACTTTAAACACAATAGATCTAAGGGCGTCACCTCCGCTCCCACCATCACCAGCACCCACCATCACCAGCACCCACCATCACCAGCACCCACCATCACCAACATCCACCATCACCAACATCCACCGCAGACATCACCCTCTTGAACTTACGTCACACTAAAACTCATCTTTATCGGACAGTGTGAAAGGTTACGTCTTCATACTTTATCCAAGACGACACTAAACGAATCTCTTACCCAAAATAATTTAGCCGTACTCTCAAGTTACATAAGCAGCCATGATTACTATATACAAAACATGTGTAAACTAAGAAAAATATGGTACAATATGATTCAATTTCCCTCGCCTCCTGCTCCAAGGGTCGTTAGTTCAATCCCGGGGCACTCCCAATCCACCCAGCTGTCTAAGTAAGGCAGTGAGTACAGTACCAAGTGCAGTGCCGATAAAATTGACTCCCTGTGTGCCGATGGCTGGGTAAACGGTGTGTGCTGTATCCACATTGAATCCTTAATGGTCAGTCATGCCTATGGGACCCAACTTTCACTTTCACTCCATACGAAGAGCCGCGGACCCTGCAAACAAACATTAAGTGGAAGGACTGCAAGAACCGAACCGAACCTAACCTAACCTAACCTAGCGCTACAGACGGTAAGGGAACACGAACACACAAGAGAACACCAGAAAGACAACTCCGCGGACATACACACCCACACCATATCCCCACAGGTGCAAGCAATCATCAGTTAATCACCATCCGTCACCTCCTCCCCCCCCAGACCTCTAACACCTGGCTCTCGTCACCAGTAACGTAACACTTAGTGCGTCACACAGTCACCAAGCAGAACAGAGCAACACACACACACTCTGGTCACCAATCTGGGTCAGGATTTCCTCGTTCGTGAATTGAATTTTCGCGGATTGGTGACGCTAACACGCAGCCGAGGTGAAGAGATTTAAACACGAAACTTATATGATCTTACCTAAGTCTTCTATTTGTTATAAAGGAAGAATATATATGCCAGGCGCTGTTGATTGCCCGTGCTGGCACTGTTCTCATGGTGTTGTGTTCGGTAACCTCGACACACAAAGACACACACAGACAGGCATACCACCAGTAGATTAAGTGTTGATTGACCTCCCCCCCCCACCTCACAAACTGCTCTCTATTCTCCTTCCTTCCCTCACACACAACCCTCCCCTCCCTTTCCTCCCTCCCTTACACACAACCCTCCCCTCCCTCCCCTCACACACTACCCTAAGGACGATAATTCAAGCTTATAATCGTCGAGAAGTTCAAGTTTTAAACCTTCATCCTCCAAGGGTTTAAATCACCACAAGTTTAAGCCTCGGAAGAAGATGGTTCAAACTATAACTCCTTAATGACGATAATTTAAGACAAACAACAAGAGTTTAAATTATCGTCCTTCAAGGGTGGGGTGGGGTGGGTTGAAGGATATAAACACTAAAACTCGAGGCTGAGATTTGGTCTCCCTGGTGGGGTGTTTACAGAGTGAGGAGGACCTACAAGGAGCCAGGTCATGCCCAGGTAGGAGGTCATAAGAGGCTCGTGAGACCGCTGACTTGATCCTAACCTCACGATTTAATACTTCTCTCTCTGAAGGGTGAAGAACCTGACAGAAGAGCAGAGTTGGTTGAGACTGAGGCGAGACCAGCTCAAGATAGACCGAGTAGGCAGGGAGGAACTCAGGTCGTGGGATTATCCGGCTCAGGTGGCGCTTGAGCTGGGTGGTGGTGGTGTAGGGGGCGAGGTGTGTACGTGTGCTGGTGTAAAGTAACACATGAAGAGGTGAAGGTGTATAATAATAATGAATAATAACAAATACTAAAATAACAACAATAATAATAACAGCAGCAATAACAAACCACAAAAAATAACAAACATCAATAACAACAACGAACGATAAACACCCCCAGATGCTAATATCCACAACACGTGATAAAACAGACTTGGAAGGGACAGTCCGCCACCAGCCCTGACTTACCGAGAGGGACGGAATACCTGCAGAGGCGAGTTAAATACTGTAGTGAGCAACTAATAAAGAGGCGAGATGTATGTTTACGGTGGTGATAATATCTCTCTCTCTCTCTCTCTCTCTCTCTCTCTCTCTCTCTCTCTCTCTCCCTCCTTTTTTCTTTCTTTCTTCCTCCTTCGTCTTTTTCTTTCCCCTCTCTTCTCTTGCCTTCCCTTTCTCTCTCCTTCCTTCCCCTTTTCTTTCTCCTTCCTTCCTCTTTTTCTCTCCTTCCTTCCCTTTCTTCTCCTTTTCTCACTCCTTCCTTCCCTTTTTTCTCCTCTTAGCTCTCTCATTCCTTCTCTTTTATCCTCTTATTCTCCCTCCTCCCCTACCCCCCCCCCTACTTCCTTCTCTCCCTACCTCCCTCCCGAGAGCCACAACCCAACCAGGTAGCTTAGGGCAGGTATTATCCGGGAGGTCAACAAGTGTACATACAAACACACACACACCGCTCCGCACACACACAGCCGTCCTCACCACCCACACAAACATACGTACACACACACATATTACCTTAATTTGTGTCGGCCATACCTGCACAGCTCTCCTGGGGGCAGAAACCTACCTGACAACTCTCTCTCTCTCTCTCTCTCTCTCTCTCTCTCTCTCTCTCTCTCTCTCAAATTCCTTTTTAATCACCATAATCGAACTTTAAATGACTCGCACACGGAGACGACGACAATGGAACGAAAGTGAATCGAATATTTCTTACGTGAACCCAAACTCAGACACACACACATTAGGGCTGACGACTGTAAATCCAGAAAGTTTTACCTTAACGTGTCGAGAACTGATAAACTTGGACACTTCTACACGAAAATATGACATTGAAACGAGTGACTAGGTAAGGTAAGGTAAGGTAAGGTGCAGCATCCAGACCACAACGAATAATGGACTGATTAATGGCTACCAACACTGACGTGGCCTTTGTGACTTGTGTTTGTCTGTACGAGTGTATGGAGAACACACGTCGATGATGGAAGTGAATGACGATGAAGAGAATAACGAAAATGAAGGAGAAGAATAAAGAAGATATTCCCTTACACTAACTTTCACTCTTCCTTACTTGGTCTCTTCTCTCTCTCTCTCTCTCTCTCCTACCTCCCTCTTTCCCTCCCCGACCCTGATGTCTGGGTGTGGCGGGGGCTGTGACATCACCACCTACCACCTGGTCTACAGTATGTAGTAGGTGGTGACTGTGACATCACCACCTACCACCTGGTCTATGTGGTAGGTGGTGACTGTGACATCACCGCCTACCACCTGGATGTATGTGGCTACGGTGGTGAACAGAGAGAGAGAGAGAGAGAGAGAGAGAGAGAGAGAGAGAGAGTGAACCGTAAGTATCAACACCATCACAAGCGGTACTGAACTGTTCCTTCTTATATCAACTGTACTCCCCAAACACAGGCCAGGCGAAGGAGTCAATCAGCTCAGAGCCAAGATACGACTCTGTGTATACTGTATCTTATCACCACCCCAAAATAACCTAACCTAACCTGGGAAATCTTCAGAACAGCTGTACAAATGACTCACCTCCCCCTGACGCTCTAGTCATTGTGAAAACTTAACTCTCCCGACATCAAATTCTAATAATTAGTATTAGAAGACTGCCAGCTACTCCCACACAGCTAAACTACGACTATCTCAATGGGGGAAATATTTTACGATAGTTCTTTTATTCACCAAGACATATTTCTCGCATTACAAACGTTCCCTTCAGTATATTATAGATAGGTAGAGTAATACGTAAGGAGACCAGCGACGAGATTAGAAACCAAAAGTGTGAAATAGAGACCACTAATGA